AAAAAATAGCCACGGCCCTCGCAAGAAGCAAGCCTTGCCGTGAGAGTGGAAAAACAGTAACACCCTCGGGTTCGTTTACTGCCGGCACAGCAGTTTGGCCGTGGACCACAACGGTCTCGGCGTTCTTCAATCACATGTTATCCTTCATACTCCTTTGTTGCCTCAAGGCATCCTCTCAATTGTTGTTTGCCAACCAAACTCACACGTCTTTGCATAGTCGCACGTGTCCTCGGTGCTTAACGCTACGAAAAACAATGGTGACTCATGCATAACGGGAGCACACGCCCACACGCTTCCACTTCGACGATTGCACGGAAGCAAGTCCAGCAGTGCATGTGGGTGTTATTGGCCTCCAAACATCTCCTTCTCGAGCTTTGCTACCATTTGTTCCATGAATTTTACTCTCGTCTGGTAACCCGGCCGCTTTTTTTCCTTCTCTTCCACAATCTGCTCCGAATATTTCTGGTGGTCGGCGCACATTGCTTTCTGCAGAGCTTATTCAGCAGCCTTGGTATCGAGGGCAGCAGACTTGCTTTCCTCTTCCTCTTGTTTCAGTCGCCACTCAGATTTCTCCGATCCGCCACGTGGCAGGAGCGGCTCAATATCTAGTAGTGCGGTTTTCATGGCAACGGACGTAGCCTTTGCCACGCTCTGCCTTCCCCCCTTCTTTTCTGCTTCGTCCCCCGCCTGTTCTGCTCGTAGAGCCTCGCGCCCTCCCGCTTGGCGGCCGCCCGGCGCTTGGCACCGCCTGTACAGTCATCGCCCTCTCCGGTTCCGTCGTCCTCTCGCTGAGCGTCCTCCGGGAGGAGATTGTTGCACACTTGGTCAAGCTCGGGGTATTTCTCGATTGCGCAACCGAGAATGTACGTGTCCGTGTCCCCTGTAAAAAAAAAACAAAGCGCAAAGCGCGGGCGGGGAGGGTCTGTATGGAGCAATTGGAAAGGTGTTTGGTCTTGCTTCAAAATACACGATAAAAGTTCATGGTGCAGACAATCCTTTTCAATCAGGCCTCAAGGTGGACGTCATCCCGGGAGTACGTTTTACAACACTATCGACAACTCCAAGTGCAATATCAAAACTCCGACCGTAGCAGCACTTACACGCTGAAGTACGATCGGCACAATTGACGCCACGGCCACAAAATCGCCCACGGTTCCTGGAGAAAACAGACGCTGTTTTATACCCAGCCCTACGTCACCCATCTCTTACCTTGGCAAAATGAAAGCCATGGCTGGTTGTTGCCGGATTCACTCTACCAGTTGGCATTAGGCGTGTTCCATTTCGCCTTTGGCGTAGACCACATCTTGGTGATCTTTTCCGCCGAGATGTTTGGTTGCTGGATGATGTTCGGGTTGACGTGACTCACTTGTTCGCCGTCCACGATTTTTCTCACCTGAAAAACGCCACAGCACCCATAGGTCAGGCATACAGCGAGGGAGCGAGGGAAGGGGCAACGCAGATCATACACGTGTTCTTTATACCTACTTACAAAGATGACGCCCCCCGGACGTGCGAGAAATTGAACTCGATTTCGATACGAAAAAAAAAAGAACGGGGGGAATGCACCTCTCTTGCGGGAAGGCCCAATGTCGGTCT